GACCAGTTCAGGGTGCGCTGTGCTTCTCTGCCTCGGATGCCGGTTCCAGACCACTGTGTCGCCGGTGCTCAGGGGTCTCCAGGAGCCCCTCTGCCGATGCCCCTGCACCACCAGACGCTGTGTGTTTCTAAATCCATCACTTTCGGATCCCGAAACTGTTCAAAATGAAACACCTGTGTCTCCTGGCGGTGTTTAAATTCATCAGTACTTCATTTGTTCCTGCATCGTGATTCTCAACTCTGGCTGCCGGCTCAGATCACCCGGGGAGTGTTCTCTGAATCGCCGGGGCCTCGCACCCTGAGGACAGCGCACTTCACTTGGTAAGCCTCCCGGGCCGGCTGTGCGGACGCGCATCCACCACTGTGAAGCCGTGACTTACTCAGTCAGCAAGCAGTTCCCGGCCCCTGGATCAGCTGCCTAGGGGTGCAGTAACAAGTACCACAGACTCCATGGCTTGAAACAAGGCAGGCTGATTCTTTGCAGCTCTGGAAGCCAGAGTTCCCTGCTCCCTCCTGAGGCTCGAAGGTACCTCCGCTGCCTCTGGTGCTCTCGGTAGGTGGCTCCTGCGCCCACTGGCTCCAGCCGCATCCCTCCCATCTCTGCCTCCGGCTCTGCCGTGCCTTCTCCTCTGCGCATCTGTCTCACAAGGTCACCTCATCGGATGGAGGGGCCACCAGATCATCGAGGGTGGTCTCAACTCAAGACTCTTCATTACAGCCCTGGCCAGGTGGCTCAGTTAGTTACACCAAAGGCTTCCGGGTTCAGTTCCCAGTCAGGGCCTTGTACCTCGGTTGAGGGTTCAATCCCCGGTCCCGGCACGTAGGGGAAGTGACTGATCAGTTTCTCTCTCTCCCTCTTCCTCTCTCTCTCTCATCAATAAACATCTCCTCGAGGCATCTCCTGGCACCTGGGGGCCAGTCTCGGGGAGTGGCTTAGCGTGGGCTCTGAAAGCAGGTTGCTCTGGCTCCGCCTGGTCCCGAGCCATGGGGAAGCCGTGGGACCTGTGCCTCGGTGTGCACATCTGTTAAATGGGGGTGGCGACAGCTATCAGCCTGACGGGGTTCTCACACTTCTGATTTTTAAAGTTCACGTTCCCAAAAGGTTTATCGACATGTCTAGCATGGAATAAGCATCCTGTGGTTTTCCATTTTCCAAAAGAAAACAAGGGATAAACAGCAGACTCACACAAAATCACTAAGTCACACGAAAACACTCCACATATTCTTTCGCCTCTCAACACAAGCTTCTACTACGGAAGGAAAGAATCCAGACGGAAATTGAGTCTGGTGGGAAAACACGACTTTTCGCAGGAACAGAGGCAGCCGTGATGATCACCGCGCTGTCCTCATCCCTTCTTTTCCATTTTTCCCCAACCACAGGAAGTCCTTATTTTATGTGTTTTTTGTGTCCTTCCACTGTTTACGCCCCTTCGCCCGGCCCTCCCCTCTGACTTTGCTTCGACTTTGTCTTGTCTAGACTTCGGGTTTTCTTCTTTTTAGATCCCACACACCAGTGAAGACCTGGGGCATCTGTCCTTGTCCGTCCCACTCATTTCACTGGGCACAGGGCCTCCAGATCCATCCGTGCCGTCACGAGTGGCGAGGTTCCGTTCTTCTTCACTGCCACGTAATATTCCATGGCGTGTACACGTGTCTAGGGATAAATAGGTCCTTTCTTTCATTCTCGTTTCCACCTGGAATGAGAATCCTTTAAGTGGGACGAACGACGCAGCCTGGCTCACGGTTCACAAACCCACACGGTGACTTGCTTCTGGTCACACTGTCACTTAGCGTCTGTTTCACAGAAAGCGCGATGAGGCAGCCAAGTTGGTCACAACGAACTCCTCTGCTCAGTGGGTCCTAGCTTCTGGCCTCCGGCACTAGGCTCCAGACTGCCAAGCATGGTCAACATTTGACTTTGACCTTGACATCACCTTGAGTCGGGCCACCGTGAAGCAGGCTGTTCCGCGTCTCTAGAGAAGCCTGTTTAAGGTCCCAGGAGCCTTTCTGTGGATGGGGAAGCGGGAGCTCCGTCCACAGGCGCCGCCCAGCGTCTCCCCGCCTCGGCTCCAGTTTTCCCACGAGCGCCAGCTCAGCGTCGAGGACGCCGACAGCATCTGCAGTGGCAGCCTCTTTCTGAGGTCCCTGTCCCACCGGCGGGGACGAAGCCCTTCACAGTCCGCCCTCATCTCGAGCCCTGCGGTCCGGCACCGTTTCCAACGATCCGCCTATCACCGCGCTTTCATTCCCTTTGGCCCCGAGTTATCTGCACTGAACACTTTCAAATTTGCTGATTTGTCTAATCTCTTTTCTCCTCTGCTGGCAGCGCCAGCCTTTATCTGCTGGTTCCCATCTCCACTCCTCACATCCCCCCTCAATGAGGGCTCATTAAAACATCTCAAATGAAGACCTTCCCAGCCTCGCCAGCTGAGCGCCTCGGCCCTGCCCATTCAACGCACGTCCAATTCTTATCGCCGACTTCCAGGCAGTTTGTACATTACATTCTATTAACAACTCTGTTCCACCCAAGGTTGTCACAATTCAGAGACTGCAGCTTCCCGTGGGAGGTTTGGTTAGTGATACATCCCCATATTCCCTTTGTCAGCCGGCAAACACGCCCGTGAGCCCGCATTTCACACCTCATTTGATACCATGATTCCGCAAAAAAGTACAAACAGCAGCAATTACTTATTGTGGTTGGGGAACGGGTTTTCTCGGGGCAGGTGACGAGCTGGGCGCTCTCCTTCCGCCCGGAGAGGCCGGACTCTGGAGGGGACCGAGAAAGCGCTGGAGGGTGAGCCGTCCAGTGGTGGCCCCTCGTGTAACGGCGTTTCCTCTCTTGTAACCTTTGTCTCTCCTAAGAAGGCAAAACCGGTGCTCACAAAACCAGAAGTGATTTCCACTGTTTGTCCCTGAACTTCAAACATCGCCGGCAGGTCAGCCCAAAGTTTCCCCACGGCTCTTGCACTGTGCACGGCCCGTGGAACTGCCACCACACCCGGCCCACGGTGTCCGAGGACATGAGCCCGAGCACGACAGGAGGCTGGGGGACTGGCCGGCCGCCCCTGTGACCCTGCCCTGCACCCACCCCCTGCAGGGCCCTCTCCCACACTTGAAGCCCGATTCATCAGGTGGGTCCATCATCCCCCACTCCCAGGGCTGGCTGCAGACACGGGATCTGGGGTCTGTGAGCCACGCTGCGCCGAACAGAGATGCAGTGACCCGGGGCAGCCCCAACAGGGAGAGGCAGCTCACTCCTGAGGGAGGTGAGGGGCCCTGGGGGCAGGGGTGGGGGAGGAGGAGCCCGCCAGAGGGGACGCCCACCCAGAGGACAGACGAGAGACAGGCTGCGGAGGTGCTGCACGAGCACCTGGGCCCAGACACCCCCAAACCCCGCCATGTACCCAAGGAACCTGGGTTCCCTCGCTGCTTGGACTTCAGGTGCACAGACCTAACGGCACCCCCTGGACAAAGCCAGCCTGATGGGCACCTGGCCACCAGGAGGACGTCTCCCAGTGGGGACAGCATCCCACATGTCCCAGTGCAGAACGGAGACCTGTGGCAGACCACCTCTGAAGAGTGTGGCAACACCCGGCCGCCGAGCACCATTCTCGCCTTTGTCCCCGGACAGCAGCCCACCCCTCCCCCCACTACAAAGCCCGGAATCAATACCAGATGGTCATTTTCCTGGCCAACCCTGCTTTGATGGGCAATAGCACAGAATCCCGTGTTCACTGATGAGATCCCAAAACAGACTTCCAAGGGCATAACTGGAGAGGTCTTCCCCGGTAGAAAGAGATCCATGAGGAGAAGCCCCCCTCCCTTCCAGTCTTTGTCTACAACTGGGTGAGTCTGTGATGGCTGGACCTGCTGCAGCCGTCTTGCCACCACGAGGAAAGAAGCTGGAGGATGACAGTCAGTGAACTGGGCACCACAGAGTGGACAGACAGAACCCACCTGGAGACGCACCGACCCCACAACCCCTCCCTCTAAATTTCCCACCAGGTGAGATGATAACAAGCCTATTGTGGCAGCCACTCAAGGTGGGCGTTCCACTCCTGGCAGCGGCGAGCACGTGTAAATGTCCGAGGCTGCCTGCATCTGTGACCGCCCGGGGTGTGGGAGGGGTGCATATTCCCAGGGAAACCGTGGGTCGGGCGGGTGCAGACCGAAACCCCTGCCAGGGGGCGCGCAGGACGCCGACCGGAACGTCGAGTTCGCAGTGAGAGGCAGCGACCTCGCTGATCACTGTTCCCAGCGGGAGGCTCTGGGCCGCTCAGCCCGAGTCCCTTCCCTCTCTGGGAGAGAGACCATAGGCAGCAGGCAGACAGACTTCTGGCTGAGGCTGGGGTCCCCCTGTTAGGGACAGCACCCAGCAGGGACCCCGCCGAGAAAGGCGAGCTCTACCCAGTCTCTTCTCCCTTCTCATGCCCCCACCCACCCTGCCTCTCCCTCATTCATTCATTCATTCATTCATTCATTCATTCATTCATTCCCCGCTGTGGCTAAGACTGTGGTGGACCTCAGAGGGTGTGAACACCAGAAAAGAAAGAAGAGACCACCCATGGTGACAATCGGTAAAAGAGGCAAAGATAACTTGGGGTGAGAGAGCTCAGTGTGCCCATCAACAGGGACGTCTCCCCTCGCCTCCGAAGGCGTTCTATTCTGCCCATTTTGTTCTCCAACTCTCCAGTGCAGATAATAATAATAATGATGATAATAATGATGAAAATAACAACAAAATTCTTAAAGCAGGCTCTCAGACCCCGCACTGTGACAAAGGTGAGCCCAGGCCGTGTCTGAGGCCGCCGAGCCAGTTGGGCCGCTGCAGGACAGAGAGAATGAAGAACGAGGCCCCCCCGGGGCGGCCACCCCTCACAGAGCCACCCAGGGCTGGGGGACGAACTCAAGAGCACACGTCGGCCTCCACTGTGCTCACAGGCACCTTCATCTTCCGTCAGTGTCCGCACCCACCCCCGCGCCCGCCGCCTCGGCGCCTACCTGCTCTGCGGGTCCCGGTGCTGGCCCACACAGGTGAGGGCGGCCGTGGTCTGGACACCGTCATTGTCGATTTCCTCCTGGATGGCCCAGCGGTCTTCGCCGCTGACCCTCACCGCTGCAATTCTCACGCCTGCCGCCGCCTTGATCCTGTGGGGGGTGGGGGGAGACGCAGAACCACTGTAGTTTGAAATGGGCAGCAAGAACACACCCCCGGGACAGAGGTGCCCTCACCTCCAGGAGATGCCAGGGGCCGGACTGTAAGTGGCTTTTCTCTGAAAGTCAAGTGTCCTATGATTTTCCCAAGTGCCTGGAGCGGGAGCTGCCACACATGGTAGTTTTCCGTGGGCAGCGCGCAGGGAAGCGGCGAGTTCTGCTTCAGGGGCCCCGTGACAGGAAGGGAGGATTGTTTGTGGGGGGGGTGGAGAGGCCGGGCGGGGCCTGCGCTTCCCCCAGAGACAGGGAGAGGTCCCCAGGGGGACGTGGGGCGTCTGGGAGGCCGGGAGGCTGCCCAGCCCGGGGACTGAGGAGGAACAGGCCGCCCCCACGGCACCTCCCTCCGGAGACTCCCGATGCCTCCTTTGCCCCAACTCGCTCTTCCCTCCTGCGAAGTTCTGCCGACGACACTTGCTTGTCCTCGAAGCTGCCTGTCCCACCAGCCCGACCTCCCAGGAGCTCATTCATGTGAATCACCAACACGGGCCCCCCTCTCCCCGGGCTTTCGGCCGTCCCAACCTGCTGCCACACAGGGCCGTTGACGAGAAGTTTTAGAGTCTCGATGCACAGAGTCCTCCCACCCCGGGGACCGCGAGGTCCCACCGTGCTCTGCACCTGCTGCTTGACCATCTTGTCACATCCTTTCCTGTCCGCGCAACTGCTCACAGAGAGCGTTCATCAGGCGGCCCGAGGCCAGGGCTCCCGCCGTGGTCCTCAACATCCAGATGCACCAACGGCGACCCTCCCGCCCCATCGGCGAGTGTCCAGCTGGAGGTCACAGAGCTGGTCGTTGCAGAGCCAAGACCAGGAGCCAAACCCGCCCCCCCCCCACGCAGAGCCTCCTCTTGAGCCACACTTTGCGTCATTTGCTGCCTGGCGAACACTCAGGGGTTACGTCTCGGACCAAAGTCTCCGTGCTCAGCTCCCTAACTGAGCCCTCGTCACCCGGCCTCTCCCCTTCAGAGACGATAGGACGTGTAACAAAGCCAAGGGCAGGCCCCTCGTCCTCGGGGACTTTGTCAGGAAGCCTCTCCACCCCGATTTGTGAGGCGACACGCACAGTCTCCCCAGTGTCCCCCCTGCTGTGCATTTTCTCTTTCCCACCCGAGAGCATCGCACGCAGCAGGTGAGCTCACCCTGGAGTTTCAGAACCAGGTGACCAGCCAGGAGTGACAACCAAGCACTGAACAGCAGGGACAGGGCCTCAGCAGGCCAGGAGGTCACCCAGAGGGCCCGCCACTGCCATTGTACCCGCTGATCCGAGAGAGGGGACCCTGGGAGGGTGGGAGACGGACTCAGGCAGTGGCCTTTAACCAGCAGGGGTCGCCGTTCTCCAGTACGGCAGCCTCCAGCCGGGTCACAGGAACAGAGGCAGGGACAGACCAAAGTGGCCTCGCCGTGTGTCCCTCGGATGGGATTGGGGACCCCGGACATCACGAACACTCGTCCACTTGCTGCTAAGCTGTTAGAGCGCAGATGGGCCCCCTCTGGGTCGGACCAGGTAACGTTCCAGCTGCCGCGGATGAGCAGCGAGAAAGCTCTGGACTCCGGCCGGCCCCCGGCAGCTGGGGACGAGAGACCGGGCAGCGACCCCCCAGCGGCTCCGCCTCGTTCCCAGCTGTCTTCCCAGACCCATGCGGCCACCGCCTCGCTGGGCACAAGAAAACGTGCCAGGCCGGAGCACCTCAGTCTTTGTGTCTTCCACGCCTCACCGTCCACCTTGGAAGTAAACTTCTCCTCTCCGCGGGGTTTTGGTTTGTTCGGCTGCTGGCACGATGGGTGTGTGGAAAGGGGTTCGTCTGGTACAAAGAGAACTTGCATCTCCGCCCTCAGCTCTTGGGAGCCGACCTCTGAGACCCCGGAGCGAGCTGGCCAATGGGAGGGTCTGTTCACCCAGGCACCTCGGGCCACGCGGTCCCAGCTTGGCCTCCGCAGGGCCCGGACCCCAAGGTCAGCCAAGGGAGCGGCCGGCTGTGCCCACATGACCGAGCCCAATCAGTCTCTTCCTAAACTCCAGCTCTTTGGCCAAATCCTTCCCAATTTTAGAACACATTTGCTGGAACAATTTAAGCCCAGAAAAATCCACGCCTTGAATATTCATTGTGTGTTTTAGGGAGGTATTTTTAGGCCTGGTGATATTCTCGCTGCGTGTTATTTAGAAGCTTTGCCATCTGAAACTCTGTGGAGACGGCTGACGGTCCCAGCACTGGGAGGCGCTGGAGGGACCTGGGGGCCGGGCCGGCGAAGAGAGGTGACCGCGAGGTGGCCCACAACCAGCTTGGTCTAGGCGACGACCGGAGAGTTCCACACGTTGGCTTAGTCCCTCTGGGAGTAAGACCCCCCGTACAGTAGGCCAAGGGGGGTCACCACCCAAAAGGGGGAGGGGAAGGGAAGCCCTGAGGAAGAGGAGGACTGGGGGGCCTTCGGTGTCTGGAAGCTGTCACTCGGCAACACAGCGGGCGGTGTCAGGGGTCAGAGGGCTCCGGAGTGCAGCTGTGGGGGTGCCTTGGAGCCTGGGGTGCCCCTTACCACGGCTGAAAGAGCTGGGCGTGGATTTCCCAGCATGCAAAGAGGTCAAGCCCGATTAGAACAATTAGATGCATAACAAGTTAAGTTTGGCGCTGGAGGGCCTTTGAGCTAACAGGCGCCATCCGCGGTGAAGGGCCAAGGGGCCGTGTACTCGGTCCGCCTTTGGTCCATTTACGTGACGACTACTTCCTGACATTCACACACACAGAACTTACATGTATCATCCCACAGGGTCTTCATTACGCTCATACTTGTTGCCTGAAGCCTTGGGGTTTGAGGAACAGAGTGCAGGGCCCCTTGGCAGACAGAGGTTTGAATAAGAAATACTCGGTGGTGAACCGACCATTTGGAAGTGACTCCCTGCACACACTTGGCCTTGGACAGCGGCCGGGCCGACCCCACGCTCACCGCCAGTGTCTCTGCCCTTGGGGTCGGCAGGCTGCGCCGACTGCAGGCCAGAAGCACGGTGCGAACACAGGGGACTCGGCCGGGGTTGTTGACAGTGAACGGGGACTTGCAGACAGGGGTGTGGAGAGCAAAGTCTAGGGGGGCCCTTGGGGAGCTGGGAGGCCCTGAAACATTTCTGCTAAATTGGCCCTTTGGGGGCCCCACTGGCCACCTCGAGTGTGAGATGGAAACCGTGGCGCCGCCTGGGATGGGGAGAGCGAGTTGCCAACGGGCGCACTGGGAACAGCCTCGGCCCAGGACTGAAATTGCCAGGGGTTACCAGGCAGGGAAGGGGCGGAGAGGGGCCGGGCACCGGGCCTGCGTGCGAGAGGCCACGGTGGGGTCCCCTGCTGCCCAGGTGGCTGAAGAGCTGGGCGCCGGGGACGCACAGTTTGGTCTCTGAGTCCCGGAGACGGCAGGAGCCACGAGAACAGGCAGCCCGCCTGTGCCAGCATTTCTCTAGGAAGGAAGAACTTTCCGGAAGCAACGAGTGCCGTGTCCTGTGGGACCACCGCCCCCCCTGGTCCCCTCTTTCTCCTAAGGAAGTCAGTGACTGAGCAGACCCCACGGGTCGCTTTGACAAATCAGAAATTTAACATTTTCACAAACAAATCATTCTAATCACTGCCATGTTTCCGGCACAGCAGGGGACTGCAGCTGTCTGCGTGGTTCTGCCGCCCTGGGGACCGCCGGTTACGGCGAAACGACTTGCAAAGCCAGGGGGCCCTTGACACCCCAGGAAACCACCAAGAAGAAAGAGCTGCGAGGCTGTTCTACTCCGACTCTAGAAATTTCCTCTCCGCTCGGGCCAGCGCAGCTCTGAGCAGGGACCTGCCAGCGGGTGCCCCTCTGTGGGAAGCCCCCTTCGGCCCAGGACGCTGGTCCGGTCCCCAGCCTGCTGTCTCCCTGCTTCCATGAGACAGTCACTGTGTTATCCCCCCACCGAAGGGTGGATTCCCCACGCAACCTCTTCCCCTGGCTCCAGACACACCCGAGGGCAGTCCTCGATGCCCTGCCTCCTGGTGACCACCCAGGTCCTACCCCCACTTCCCCTTGAGTGTGGGTGGGACCTGTGACATGCACGGAACCCACGGGATGTGGCAACGGTGACGGAATGTCCCTCCGTGGTTGCAGCGCCTCTGGTGAGACTCCACCTGGCAAGCAGATGCCCTCCAGACACCGCCTCTCCCTGGCGCCTCTGAAGGCGTGAGCAGCGAGGCCGGGCGGGGCAGGGGGTGCTGCCCGCGGCCTCCGAGAGCCAGTGACAGCCCAGGGCTCTCAGTCCTGTGACGGCAAGCAAAGGGCTGCCAGGCACACGAAAGACTCTGGAAGCACATTTGTCCCCAGTCAGGTCTCGGGTGGGAACAGGGGGGAACCAGTGGGACCGCGAGCAGAGGGCCCAGACACCGTGCCAGGGCTCCCGACCCAGAGACCTGGGAGAAAATAAAGGGGTGTCATTGCCAGCCTCCGAGCTAGGGCTACGGTTGCGGGTCGCCGTCACCCCATGTTTTAAAACTCCTGATCTGGTGGCCACACCCAAGCATCTCAGGTGTCTCTGGAAATCATATCCGCCCGCCCCCACACACACTGGTCACTCCCAAAGTGCAAGGCACAGACCGTGGCTGCGTAGAGTCTAAGATAAGTTTAAAGGCAAAAGTGTCCCGAGACCCATCTGGCCGGGACACAGAAGGTGCCTGTGTGTGCAGGGCTCCCCAAAGCCGGTCTCTTGGACTCCATCGCGTCACCATGGGAACGTGGCGCGGAGTGGGGGCCAGTCACACTTTCTCACCAGGCGTGTCCCAGAGTGCACTGCACGCCCCTGACAGATGGCCACCGTCAGCCACTCGCTCGCCCACCCCAGGACGCTCAGGTTGCTGCGTCCACCCTCCAGAGTCCCCATTTAATTCCTCTGTGTCGGCCAAGTTTCTTTCAGGATCAAAAGCAAAGAGGTGTTCCTCTCGTCCCTGCCTGGCTATAATTAACTCCAAGAATATTTGTCCTTTAGCCAAGAAACGGTCTCTTTATAGTCAGTCACCCAAGGAGCTATGAAAGGACAGACTGGCCTCGGATTCCGGAGCTAATAATACGGTGAGGCGTGGGCACGTCTTTTCCCTGGACAGCTCGGCCCCGCCTCCTGTCTTTGAGTGACTGCTGTATATTTAAATATGTAAATGAGCCCAGCAACTGTGGCCGCAGGTTGCATTCTGAGGCTGAGCCTCTTCCAGAAAAGCCCCAGTGAGCTGGCTCATCTACGGGCTCGGACACCCACCGAGGCGGCTTTCCTCCTCCTCTCGTGTCTCAGCCCGAACCCCACAATACACGGAGTGTTCTCTGGTCGCCGTCCACTATCTGACACAATTTCCATAATGGCGAAATTTACATACAGATGGCAGATAAATAAAAGCGCCCTGCCACCCGGGCTGCGGCTCTGACGGTCAGCAAATCCTATTAGGGGCTTTATTAACCTGCTCCGGGACGGAAACGTCCTATCGGATCCTGCGGGTTTCGGCTGGGCACGGCGGCCCCGCCGCAAAATGAAATTCAGCTCTCAACATTTTTCCGCCACATGAACCCACGGAAATTGAGCCCCCTCCGAACGCGGCATCGAAACATCCATTCCCTCTGGCATCTCGTTCACACCACAATGGCCTCTCTTTTCTCTCCGGTTTTTTTAACAGCATGTCATTGCCATTAGCTGGCAAGCACCGACAAGTGCAAGTTCACGGACACAGGCGATGGCTGCGAGGGAGGCCTGGCTCCTGGGCCCGGGAGGAGGGAAGGGGAATCTGGGCGGTGAGGGGCGCAGGGGTGTCTGCAATAGACGGGGCGTTAGGGAGACTTGGCTGAAGCCCCAGAGACACCCCGAAGGAGACCTTCCACATGCCTGCGTGTGTCAAGTTCAACCCTGGCAAGAAGCGTCTGCACCTCCAGGGGTTGACTGACGACTGGTTAAAACCTGTCGCCTCCTAATCTCAATGAGACTGGTGTTTGTGAGCAAGCGAGTGAGTCAGCACCGCTGTGCAAACTCTCACCAGAACCCGGCAGAAGGCTTTGGGATCTCCCGAGTTTGCCAAGGAGCAAACGGGAAGCGGGAAAGTGACCTCAGACCAGGGAGGGAGGAGGCTCCAGGTGAAGGCCTCAGGAAACAAGGTCACAGCGACACCTCTGCCACGTCAGCACCGTCCTCTGCACCCGAAAACCAAGCAAGCGCCCCGTGGACCGTCCATGTGCCGAGCGGTGGCCCCAGGGAGCCGAACCGGTCCAAACACCAGAACCTGTGCGCTCAGGAGTCTCGAACTGCAACGGGAGGGAGAACGGGAGTCCTGAAGGAGAGGACAGGGCTGGGGACAGTACGAAATGACAGACCTGTCAGCCACGGGCTTGGAAAGCGACCGGAGTCCCCCCCCCCCCGAGGTAGAGCCCTGGCCTCGCTCACGGGGACTGCCAGGAGCGAGGGCCGCAGGCCGGGCCCTGGGCAACGGCACGGGCTTCCCGTGGGGCTGGAGGCTGACGTCCAAGATCAAGACGCCGGCAGGCGTGGTTTCTGCTGAGACCTCTCGGCTTGTCGGCAGCCACCGTGGCACTGTGGGCGCACGTGGTGTCCTCCTCTGGATGTCGGTGACCTCATCTGCTCCTCTTGTAAAGCCGGTCACAGTGGACAAAGAGTCCACGCTGCTGTTCACCTCTTTTAAAGACCCCACGAAGGCCACACTCTGAAGTGTCAGGGGCAGGTGTCCACACGGGGCCCACAGGCCACGCACCGCGTCCGGGTGCTCAGCGGGGGTGTTCACTCCCTGCTCACTGAGGTCCAACGGCACATTGGGCACAGTGAGGGCAGGGCAGTGTCGGGGACACGAGGTGGGAGCCAGGCTCGGTGTCCCTGTGTCGTGCCCTTGCCCCTGGGTCACAGTCAGGGTCACGGCAAATGTGCGACAGCAAAGGGACCTTCTCCCTTCCAGCTGCCTCGCCACCACCTCTGACCCAGTCAGAATTCCGGACACTGCGGCTACAGTGTGTCCCCACAGCTGCGAGCCCAGCCCCTGCTACACGGGCATCCTCGGGGCAACCCAGTCCCCCTGGGAAAGCATCTCCGAAGGCCGATGCAGGGGTCCCACACCACGGACGAGCAGAGAGCCCCTCCATCTACCCCCATGAAGCGGCCGTCCCGGGAAAGGAGCCGACGGCCGGACGGCTGACAGGGAAAGGGCCGGCAGATTCATTAAGTAGCGGGCGCAACATTGTTGCCGCAACTGCAGAAAAATCACTACCCGGGCCGGGAGACGTTAAATTTCTTGCAAAATGGTCTGTGGATTTAGACCACCCAAAAGAAGGAGACGCAATTAAAAACTCTATCTAACCTTACAATGATAGCTTGCAACACACCATGACACAAGGCATTATAGCCTTTCCTTCTGGACGTGCACCCACATGACAGAGCGTGACGGTCAGTCTGACCTCAACGGAGACGGAGAACCTGTTACCACCGCACACAGGGCCGGCGGAGCTGCACGGCACACGGCACTTGTGCTGGAGATCCGGTGAAACCAGCACGGAACCACGCCCTGCCCATCAACAGCAAGAGACCGCAGACTGTGGCCTGCAGCTCTGACCAGCGCTGGCCCTTTAAGTCTCGCTCAGACTGTGAGTGAGTCTTGGAAAACCATGAGGGGCACGCAGGGGCCCTTTCGGGCCCAGGAAACCCGGCACGCACTGCCGCTGGGACTGTGAACTTGCTTTGGCGTTTGAACACGCACAGGCCCCCTCAGCTCTAGAGGAAAGAGCCCTCCTGGTACCCCGCGCCCCAGTTTACTCTCCGTCCACCCATCTTGTTCCCAGGCAGATGCTGGGAGCAACAGCAAGAGGCACTGTCCTCCCCGTATCCACCGAATCACGGGTGGCAGACAAGGTGCATCCTCCGTTTTTTCCTGAGGACCCTGATCTGGAGCAAGGAGACTGGCACGGTGCCCAGTGGGGCACCTGGGACTCCCTGGTCACTCACTCTAGATGGACTTGATCACGACAAAGCTCCAAACATTGGGCACGCGTCAGAAGAGGTTGGCGGATGCTCTGGGAAGGCTCCCTAAAGGGGGGCAGACGCAGGTGCACGTGACTTGCTGCCTCTCTCTTTCCTTCCGAGTGAAACGTAGACGTGATGACCACCACTCAGCAGCCCCTTTGTGTCAATGAGGGGAAAGCCAATGGAATCACACAACCCTGATGCTGTGACATCCCCGATCCACCAGCCCAGTTCCCACCTGCGGACTTCTTACTTCTCCCTGAATCTGCCCCTCTCTTGGTGAGGCCAGTGTTCATGGTGCTTCAGCTATACTCAGCTGAACTTAATTCCCTAACGAGTATACGTTACAGATCACTCACCCCCAAACCCCTTCAGGGTGGCTTTTACCCCCAGAAACCCAGGAAGCATCTTACAAGAGTCGCACGTGGCCTCCACACATAAAACTGGAAGGGTTCATTTCCACCCCCTGCCCGGCCTCTCAGCGGCATTCCACTCTCTGCCGCTCCCTCGCTCCTGCCTCTTCTCTTCTCTCCTTTGGCATCGCAATGTTCTCCTGGGTCCTCTCCCATCTCACGGCCCTTCCCCAGGCTCACCTTTGCCGTTTACCGGCAGCTAAATGCCACGGTCCTCCGAGACGCCTCACAAGACTCCAAAGGCTCCTCTTCTCTTTGCATGACTTTTACTGAGAAAAATCATCCTTCCCAAGGCTCCAATGTTACATCCAATTCCCAAAGACCCCTCACCTGGACCTCCAGGTTTCCAGCCACGCCTCAAACTGCCCGGCCCCCTCCCCATTCAACGCCCACAGGCGCCGCAAAGCCAGCACGTCCAAGACGGAGGTGAGGTCTGTAGCCTGCGCCAACAGGGGCCGGCCGGGGACACAGAAGCCGCTCTTTATGCCCCAACAGAGGGAAAATGACACGGAGAACTGGTTACACAGGACGGGGTCCCCAATCTCCAGGCCACGTACCGGTACTGGTCCCGTCCTGTCAGTACCTGGGCCACATGGCAGGAGGTGAGCTCAATGCACTGCGCTTGGATGGTCCTGGAACCATCACCCCGCCCCCGCCCCCCCCCCCCCGGTCTGTGGCAAAACTGTCTTCCATTAAACCGGTCCCTGGTGCCAAAATGTTGGGGACCGCTGACTCAGGGCACAGAAGTAAGGCCTCCGTGGGGGACGGCGATGCTACCAGACCTTAGTGACAGCAAGAAGTGACCCCACCCCTAGGGAGGGGGGCCGGGAGGAGGGGGGGCAGCGAACTCCCAGCACTGGGCTGCCCGTGGGAGCTGATAGCCCGGCAAGACCGGGCTACCCTTGAGGGGACCTGCATCCCACAGGAGGAAGTGCACCTTCCGCCAGCGACAGGTCAGGGAGCAGAACAGGAGGAGGGAGCCGCCCCTGGTTCCTCCAACCCTTCCCGACCCGCAGTGGCTCACTACCGCCTCCCACTGGGCAAACCCATGCAATAAGCGCAAACCGTAACTGTGTGTGTGTACAGAAGGCCCTCTGTGGGCTAAGATGGCACAGACGCCCACCCCCGAACGCACTGCCTGGCCGTGTCTGGCCCGCTGCCTCACGTGGTCTCTGGTCCACGCCGGTACGTGTCCCCACAACCCTGGACTCGCGCCCCACCAGCACCCACTTGGTGGCTGACCGTGCACAGACAGCCAAACGTAGTCTGCCCCCCAGTCCAGCCCGCAGAGCCACTCACCTGAGCGTGAAGTGCTCTGCCACGGAGCCGCTGGCCAGGGACACCAAGAAGGTGGCCACATCCCCTTCGCGGACCAGGTTTAGGGGCACAGAGACCACGACGTTCTCATCCAGGCTCAGCAGGGACCACCTGAGGTCGTCCTGGGTCGGGTAGACCACCACGCTGCCGATGCGCTCCCGGGCCGGCGGCACCGGCAGCAGCCCCTCCGGGCCCGCGTGGATGTTGTTGGCCCACTTGCCGTCCTCCTCCAGGGGACACCGGCCGGCGGGGTCGGCCGGGAAGAGGCTGAAGAACAGCTCCATGGCCGTGCCCCCCAGCAGTGCGGGGGTCACCTCCTCGGGCTCCAGGTCCAGCCCCGAGCTGAACCACTCGGGCAGCAGCTCCAGCTCGGCCACGCACAGCCCCGGGGCCCCTCGCAGGCGGCAGCTGGCCGCCACCTCCCGGGCCTCCGGGTAGGCGAACATCTTGACGCAGGGCAGGTTCCCCGCAGGGTCGTCCCAGGCCATGCCCGCGACGTAGAACAGTGTCTGTACCTTGGGCCTGTTGGAGTAGATGGCGCTGTCCAGCACGTGGGACTTCAGCTTCCAGTTGAACGGGAAGGCGTCCACGCCTGCGAAGGCCGCGGGGGTCAGCAGCAGCTCCTCGGGGACGGCCTTCTCGGCCGAGAACGGGCCGTAGCTGGCGTTGACCACCGGGGCCGCCCTGGCCCGGTGCACGAAGAAGGGCTCCACGCGGACCTGCAGGCTGGCGTTCCTGGTGACGTCCTGGTCGGCCTCTTTGAGGAAGAAGGACTCGTCCGCGCCTGCCACCTGGAGGCCGGCGGGGAGGTAGGCGGGCAGCGAGGAGAACCTCTGCAGGCTGTCAGCGACTCCGCGGCTCTCCGCCACTGCAGGACAAGGGACAGCAGAGGAAGAATGAACGCCGTGTCCTGAGAGGCGCAGGGTTCGAGTGAGGCCACACCGCCCACCGGCCCCCCACCCAGCACAGCGCACGTCCTCCCAGGAAGGAAAGGGCAGTGGGCAGGAGCCCTGCTCACCACTGACCCCCTAGAGGGGACAGGCCACCGCCTCCCGTGCTCACAAGGCCCCGAGCCCGACGCCACCACTGACATGTGCCTCTTCCTGTCCCTCCTGTGGGACAGGAAGACACGGGGGCCTCTTCACAGTCCTCCCTGCAGCGGGGGAAGCCACAGCTCACATCCCGCTTCTAGGGATCTCTGCTTCCGAGAGACGAGCAAGAACCACAGGGCCACGTCGACAAGCACATGGGCTGCGGCGGCCCTGAACCGCAGACAAGGGCACGAGCAGATCGCGCACCCCGAGGAAGGACGGACTAGGGACAGACGGAAGTGCGGAGGGCCGCGTAAACGCGCCGTGATCCCAGAGTGTGTCGCACGAAGGCGACCATTGACTGGAAACAGACAGCCCTCCCGCAGCTTGGGTGACGAGACGCAGGTGACCACACACCGACAACCTCCGAGAGACAGACAAGCAGCAGGAAGCCACCCACGCACAGGAGGCCGTGACCACGGTCACTGGCGTGGCCGTGCCGCGCTCCGCTGTGCGTCTGTACCCACAATGCCACTGCACCCCTTACGGGTAGGTGCGCACTTCCTGTGTGGCAACGATACCTCAACAAAGCAGAAGAAAAAGAAATAAGATAAAGCAAGTTCTCCCGAAGGCCCGCCTGCGGGTCGGATCACCGAATGAACGGAGGGGGTAATTATTACTCACCCCTCCGATGAGCCTGCTGTAGTGACTACTCGCTTCTGTCTGCAGTGCCGTGGCAGGGAGGGTGTCACAGTGACAGACAGGGGCGGGTTCTGCCCCACAAAGAGGATGACGCCGGAGGAGGGACCTCCGACACCACTTGGCCATCGCAAAATGGAGTGTTGAGACCCCGAGAAATGCCCAGGAGCCTGGGTGTGGGGTTCTGTGCCAAGGAAATAATCAAGAGACCGGGAAGATTAACAGCCAAGGATGTGCGTCACAAGTGTGATTTATGACAGTGCCACACTGGCGGCGAGCCGCGGTCCCATAGCAAGGGAGATGGTGACGGAAGTGACGGATGCTGTCCTGTGTGACGGAGACCACGGGGCCGCCCACACCCTCATTTGGACAATCGGGCCGTGGGGGGGGCCCTCGCCACTCGCCACGTCACCTTGGACGACCCCCCATCTGTGTAAGACACATATGTACCACCTGCACACAAACGTGCAAACGACATACTCGCTCTCCTGACAGGGACCTGGTTCCTTCCAAATGGGCCTCGCAGACAGCGTAGGATTAACTTGCCAGCGGCAGAGGGGAAATGACTTTGAGGGATTAGCCTCGGCCCAGAAAAGGGTTAGCTGTCACGCTGCCACCGAGGAACAGATTGACAAAGCCGAGCCACGCAGAAGCCCTGTTCCGGAGCAAACTTAAATTAGTTTTCCTGTCGGTTTGTTCCCCTTCTCCACACAGGGCAGTCCAGACCCAGGTGAGCCGGCAGCGGGGGAAACAGCTCCGGGGCACGGGCCCACAGCCGGCCAGGTTGGGGAGTGACAAGTTCAAGTTCGCCTACTCATAAACTCTACAGGAAGCCCAAGGCCAGGTTTAAGTTCTGACTTATTTACAGATGTGGAAGAGGAAATTAAAGTAATTGCAAAGTGCAATGTGCTGTTTTCATTACGGAATTTTTTTAACCGTTGGCGTTGGTCTTTTATACTGCTCAGAAATTGATTAACAAGAAATTCAGAGCTGTGACTGCTCTCTCCGTTCCTGTGGCCGAGGCCTCACAGTGAGGCTCTCGGCTGGTCCCTGCATAACTCAAGCAAAGAGCAGTACAGATTCTGTCTGGGAGCTCATGTGGGAAGCCGTCCATCTCAGCTGCCGGGGCTTCATTCTGTCCTCAAACCAGACTGCGGCAAAATACGACGTCCGAACCGAGATGCATCGTATGCAGCCATGAGGCTGCATCCCCAGCACTGTGTCCAGGCCTGGGAAGCTCACAAGCCCCGGCTCAGTCTGCAAACCTCACTCAGTGGCCCCCTCCCCCTCCCCCACTGGCAGGTGGACCAGGTGGCCGTGTGAATGTGAAATGAGACGCTACTCAGTCTGCTGATTTCCTAAAGAGCCTTTCACCCCCAGACTGAACGAGATGGGTCCTGAGGCAGGAAATGAGGGGTCCGGGGAGGCTCAACTGGGCGGGGCTGCTCGTCCCTGCCGCCCTCCCTATGAGCCAGAAAGGAAATCGAGGTAGGGGTTTGCTGAGAGCCCTGAGCGTGCCAGAGAGATGCTCTGTGGCTGAAAAATGGCTGCTTCGGGGGAGACGAACCACCTCCTGGAAGAAAACCACTCACAGGGCGCTGGGCGTGCCAGCGGGGACCGTGGGACCCGCAGTGCTCAGACGGACACCCCTGCTGCGCTTGGCACACAAAACTCACCCCCGGGCAGGTGTCTGGGTCGGGACTCGTGGCTCCTGCAGCCTGGAGCCCCAAGGTGGGTCACTGTGAGCCACAGAGTCAGCAACCTCTTCGGTGACATCACAGCCGAGCTGGTTTTCTGGCCCACAGGGGACACTGCAGGTGTGCACAGCTGGGTGTGGAAGGCTCCTTTGCACGGGGCCGGGCAGCCAGGTCTTCTAAACCCACCAGCAAGAGAAACTCCTGGCTGATCCTGTCCGAGTGTGACCCTTACGAATAGCTGATGAATCACCGCCACCTGGATCTGCCTCCTGAGGTCACAGTCATGGTGTCTCTGCTGGGGTCCCCCACCATGGACACAGCTCCCCGTCCGCAGCGGCGCTAGCATCTGGGTCCCCATCATCGCCTCCCTCCTTGGTCCCTCCGACCCAACAGGTGGCCACCACCTCCTGCTTATTAATTCTGGAACACTCTACCGTTCCCCGATGGCCCTTGGCCTCCCCCAGTTTGGCTGCTCTGGCCTGTCATCCCCTCGGGAACTGTGCCCCTCCATTCAACCCCCTCGGCTGAAACAGCCGAAGCGACTTCTGTCTTATTAGCTGAAGCTCGATCCCCGGAGCCATCACTCAATTCACCTGTGACACGTCCTCAAAGCCACCATCACCAGCCGGATGGAGCCTCTGTGTTTTCACTTGTTTGTTTACTTACTAGCCATTTTCTCCACCAACGTGCCAGGTTCGTGGGAGCAGGGACCCCGTGTCCAGGTTAGTGCCGAAGCCCCGGGCGACACCCGATAAATACCAGCCCCCTGAGTGCGCGTCCGGGCCGGGGTTGCGTGCTGCAGAGAATGGATCTCCCCGTGGTCCTTTTCCATCTTCCTCTGGCTTCCTCCCAGGGTTGTTCACAGATGCCATGGATATTAACAAGTCACCTGCCCATCACACCACCACTGAGTTCGCGTCCTCCTCAAACATCACATCTCTGTGGTCACTGGCGGGTGGTGGCTTTGCCCAGGCAAGAGCCGCACTCCCAGCTCGGGACGGGGAAAGGCCACTTCTGGGAGAAGCGCACTGTCCACGGCCACCTGGCAGGCATCACGCACCTGGGCGTGCCACCTGGCTGCTGCAGCTGGTTAGTTCAGCAGTTGTGAGAGGGGCCGACCTCATCCCTTTCCAAAAACAGTGAAACGGAGGCACAGAGAAGCTGAGTGATGTGAACACAGTGCAGGGGAGCGTTCAGACGGGCCCCGTGCGCGTCCAAAGCCTCGAGTTCCTCTGCGCGCCTGAGGCCAGCTGGCTGGACACCTCTGGGAGGAGGCCACGGAGCGAGCTCCAGGCTCCCACGGCCAGGTTTACAGGCACAGCCCCGGGGCGGCCGGCAGGGTTCCTGCTGCACCACGGGCACAGGTGACCACGTCTGCCAGCCCAGGCGCCTCCTGCCTTCCCACGCAGGCCCAGGAATCAGGTAGGGCTGGCCCGGGGCATCTCCACCCAGCTCCCGCCAAAACGGCCAGTGATCCACACTTTACAGTCGTGATAAATATGGAAATAGGGTCATCGCCATCACCATCTTCACCTCTATCACCATCCTCATCATCATCATTTGTATAACCCTACCAAACACCCAGCACGGTTTTAAGCACTTCATGGGTATTAGCTCTTTTTTCTCCACACTATTCTTGACCATGAGGATTTGATTATTATGACCACTCATAGATGGGTACGCACTCAGGCACAGGGAGGCTCGGTGCCGGCCTCAGACCCCATGGCTCTGAGGAGGCAGGCGTGGGGTTCCAGCCAAGCAGCGCAGCCCCAGGCCCTGGCACCGCCGCCAGAGGGAAACTCGGCCAGCACAGCCTCTATTGGAAGGGCTCCGGCAGTGACCAAAGGGAAGGGCAGACGTGCCTCGGAATCACCCGCTCTCCAAGCACAGGGTGAGCTCACTAGCTGGACCGCGTCCACGAGACGAAAGCAAGATGCAGACACTTTTCCTGGCTAGGACAGCGGGTCCTCCAGTGGGCACTCCTGCAGGGCCATGGGGGGCATGGCAGCCCGCTTCCTGGGCACCCGCCCTGCAAGGCAGGATGGGTGGCAACAAGGAACCGGGAGCGCCATCCTGCCAAGGACAAAGGAGGGTGGGCCCAGACGGCCAGTGGCACTGGGAAGGTCTGGCCGGATAGAGAAATACAACGCGGCCCCCAAGTTCCCGCCACGAACGCAGCGTGGTTTCCCGGGGAACCAGCCCAGGCCTCAGCCAGAGCTGAGGGGAGAGCTCTGGAGACGGGGACCCCGGCAGGACCGGGCTCCCGGCGCTCTCCACGGACGACCGAGGCCCAGGCCCGGATTTAAAACGTGCCGAAGAGCCTCACTCTTCTGTCTCCTGCTGCCGCAGCTGCTTTCACGCCGGGAACGTCCTCCCCCAGCCCCCCAGAGGTCAAACACACTGATGCCTTTTTCATTTCGATATCTAGACAATTAAAAATT